AAAAAAAAAAAAAAAAAAAAAAAAAAAAAAAAAAAAAAAAAAAAAAAAAGCCTGTAAACTTGATTATGGTAACCGATCCGAATGTGATGAAATTATATGATAACAATGTCATTATAAACTTGTTACTTGGACTGTTGCATGCTGGCCATCATATCCCGGCTTATGCTGCTATGACAAACCTTATATCTTCTGCAAGATCAAGGTTAGCTCATTCTTTCAAAAGAAAAAACCACTTTAATTCCTTTTGTGATTAGTTTGAGTTTCATTTTATCGAAATAGTAAGAGCCGACTATAAAATAAAGATCATGTACTCAAAAGGAATTAACTTTTCAAGAAATCAAGCAAATGGGATATCTTTGGAAGATTTGTCTTTTTTTTTTTTTTTAATTTGGTTTATAAAGTAAGTGGGTGAAAATAAAACATGCTAAAAGAACTGGTTCGGTCATTCAAGATAAGTAAGATGTTCGGGTTAAGTTGGATTCTAAATTTAAGGTTTAGGAGAGTTATCTCTTACTAAAAAAATCTTCATTAAAAAGTGAAGGAGTAAGTAACATGACCATGTCTCAGGGGATGCAAATTGATGTCCGGGCTGTTAAATAAAAGCCATGCCTTATCTAGTTACATCTTAATTCATGGAGAAGCGTGATTCTAGGAGCCATTATTTTATCAATTTGGGCGAAGTCTTCGTCCACTCCTTCTATTTTTGTATATTTGTTTTTTCTATTTTTGTAATTAGATTTGTTATTTAAACCGTTCAATTGAAGTAAAATAAAAACATCGAGTCTTCATCATTATCAGCGAATCTCTCACTCTCTCTCCTTTTACTTCCGCTAATTTTTCCTTCGAAGAAACCTTCGGCCAATTTTTCGTCGACACTGTCTTCCGAATTGCCAGAGTCAACACGGGCCATCATGTATCCCTAAGCCTATTCCTCTTTTTCTCACAATTTTGAGCAATACTAATAGCTTGTAATTGATTTCATTTTTTGTTTTAAATTGCACAAAATATTTCGATTTTATGTATCTTATTTGCTTTTCCGTCTTTCTTTCTTTTTTTTTTTTTCAATAACTTTTAATAAATGTTGAAAAGGTGAAAGGTATAGCTCTTACCCACTCCCACTTAGTAATGTTATTAATAATTTAAGCAATATTCTTACCATAGTGAATGAGTTGATGGCATAAGTTGACATTATAAAAGACTCGCTAGTGTGGCTTTGGAGATATATTCATAGCACAAAGCTATAGACAATGGAAACGATTAATGTTTGTGTTATTATTGGATTTGTTTTAGGGGTTTATATGTTTGTGAGGAAACTCAATGAAATATGGTATTTGGTTAAGTTGGGAAGAAAGGCTTACAAATCTCTTCCTCCTGGTGACATGGGATGGCCTCTTCTTGGCTCCTCCTTCTCCTTTTACAAAGCATTTTCGGTCGGAGGTGATTCCGACTCTTTTATTTATCACCTTCTTACCAGGTATATCTCTTCATCTCTCTTTATCGGATTATGTATACCGTTATTACGTGCATGCCATGAAAGACTTTTAAAAACTAATTTAAATAGATTTCTCAAGGAACAAGCACCCTTGGCCACTAAGAATGTTTTTGTCCTTACCTAGAAAAACAATTAAGTTTTGGAAAAAGTTGCTTGGTTGGAAAATTCAAATATATGCATATATGATGTATGATTATAACTATCATGACTTATCGAAACTAAAATTTGACATTTGACCTTGGACTCTAGATAAATAAAAAGTACGTGTCTTACCTTCCTGCTCTGGAGGCATGAGGCAGCCGAAATGATCAAAAGAAAATAAATTGTTTCTCAAGTGGTACGTCAATTATATCTGTGTATAAATAATAATTTAATGGGACTTTTTTTTTTTGGGTCAACAAATTACTACTTGTTTCTTACCATCACCTAATTAAGAATTTTTAATAGGCTTGATGAAATTGATGATTACTGTAATAGTTTAAGTCCACTAGATATTGTTTTTATTTCTCAGTTAGGTAGGGAGAGGTGTCCACAACTAATAGATATTGTCTGTGTTTGCTTTTTATATAGGAAGAGATGCCAGTAATTGTATGTGTTTACCTATTATACAGGGAGAGGTTTCCATCCTACCCTTAATGCTTCTTTCCTCTCTCCAAACCCAAATGAGATCTCACCATCCACTCTTTTTTAGGAATCCACTCTCCTTGGGGACCCAATGTCTTCGGGTAGGGAGAGGTTTCCACACTATTAATGTTTCGTTCTCCTCTCCAACCGAGATTTCACAATTCACTCTTCTTGGGGAATCAATTGTCCTTCGTCCTTCCCCTTTCCAACCCTTATAAAGAATGTTTTGTTCCATTCTTCAACCGATGTAGGATCTCACAATCCACCCTCCTTAGACACCTAGCGTCCTTCCCCTCTCCAATCGATGTGGGATCTCACATTCCCTCCCTTGGGGACTCAGAGTCCTTCCGCTCTGCAATCTTTATAAAGAATGTTTCGTTCTCCTCTCTTACCGATATGGAATCTCACAATCCACCCTCCTTGGAGACCTAGCGTCCTTCCCCTCTCCAACCGATGTGGGATCTTACAATCCCTCCCTTGAGGACTCAGCATCCTTCCCCTTTTAAACCGACGTGGGATCTCACATTCCCTCTCTTGGGGGTCTAGCGTCCTCGCTGGCACACCGCCCCATATTTAGCTCTAATATCATTTGTAATAACTCAAGCACACCATTAGTAGACATTATCTGCTTCAGTCTGTTACATATCGTCTTCAGCCTCACGGTTTTTAAAACGTGTCGGCTAGGGAGAGGTTTCCACACCCTTATAAGAAATGATTCATTCCCTTCTCCAACTGATGTGAGACCTCACAATTATAAAAGATTATTGACCATGTGATATGTTTAGCATGGAAAATTGGAGGGGAAAAACTTGAAAACAATAATTTGTCATATAATCCTTTCCTCTAAAGTTGGGAAATTATAATTGTGGGCATACTTGCACAGGAATGGAAGAGTCGGGATGTATAAAAGTCACCTCTATGGAAAGCCAACAATCATCGTAACAGATCCAGAGATATGTCGACGCATCTACTTAGATGATGAAATCTTTAAGCCAAATTATCCAAACTCGGTAAAGATATTAGAAGTAAATGGCCTTTTCTCAAGGATGGATCACAAATGTGCATATAGAATCATGGCAGCTCCCATGAATGGCTATGAGGTATTGTCTCATTATGTGGACTTCATTGATCAAATAATGGCAGAAGGCTTGGAGAAATGGAGCACCAAGAAAGAGCCCATTGAGCTGTTGGGTGAGATTGGAAGGCTCTTTTTTAAAGTAATTTCACGTATTTTCTTGGGGACTGACATTGGTGCCTCTCGCATGGCTGAGCTTGAGACATTATATAAAGATTTGGGTCCTGCAATCTTGTCAATTCTTCCCTATGACTTGCCTGGATTCACTTTTCATCGCGCACTTAAGGTACTATCACACTTAAAAGGTACCATTATTTGTGTTGTAACTTGTGGCATATATTGACATTTATTTAGTTCATAGTTATTGTTTATTTAGATCACTCTCACTTATTTACTTTATAACTTTTTGATTTATTTCTCTTTTATTTGATTCAGAATTCTCATTTAATTTATTGTTTATCTTTCAATAATTTAGTTCACTTTTTTTTTTTTTTTTTGTTCATCTTCCATTTTAATACATGCTTCTGCTTATATAAAAAGTTGTCTAGGATGGTTGAGATATATAAAGTTTGATTGAGTTTGAGAATCATTTTGTATTGATGAATGAAATTTGAGATGGTTGAGATATATAAGGTTTGATTGAGTTTGAGAGTCATTTTGTATTGTTGAGTGACATTTGAGATGGTTGAGATATATAAAGTTTGATTGAGTTTGAGTGTTATTTTGTATCGTTGAGTGACATTTGGGAGGAACTTTGTTGGGGGACTTTGTAGTGGAAGAGTGAGATATACACTTTATAAATATTTTGATTATTGAGATTGGTCGTTACCCATAAATGTAGGATAATTTCTTTGATCCGAATTGAATTGCGTAAATCTTTAAATCTCTTCGTTTAATTTTTGTTTGTTCATGGGTGAGTGCGATCGATCTTCCTTCCACTTCCATTTACGCTTCCATCTTTTGTCAAATAATTAGTTCATCTTGAATTTTTTTTTTTCCTTTTTGGTGAATTATTGATTTACTTATGCCAATGGATGTGATTGGAAGATAATGTTATTTTGTACACAACAATTTGGCAGGCAAGAAAAAAGATAGAAAATATTCTACAATGTGTGATAGAGGAGAAACGAAAAGCCCTAGAAAAGGAAGAAAGAGAAGTGGAGAGCCAAATGGACAAATTGATTATGGCAAGGGATGAGAATGGGATGAAATTATATGATAACAATGCCATTATAGACTTGCTTCTTGGTCTGCTACATGCTGGCCATCATACCCCATCCTATGCTGCTATGTGGGCTCTTGTGCACATCTCTCAGAAACCTCATATCTTCCATAAGGCCAAGGTTTGCTCATTCTTTCCAAAAACCACTTTTAATTCCTTTTATGATCGTTTTGACTTGCATTTAACAGGAAGAGCAAGAGTCGATTCTACAACAAAGACTATCTACTCAAAAGGGATTAAATTTTCAAGAAATCAAGCAAATGAAATATCTTATAAAGGTATGTTTTTTTTTATCTAACCTGCATTTTAAAATCTTCTTAGAAAGTGAGTGAGTCGCTCAAGCAAGTAAGGTGTTATGACAAGGTTGCAGGAAAGTGTTGAGGTTGTATGTCGAATCTGAATTCTAAATCTAGGTTCTAGGAGAGTTGCCTCTACTGGAAAAATCTTCTCCCAAGTAAAAAGATTAGGTTAATGAACACAGTTTAACAACAACTTAAAGCTAGTAATCTCATTTCATGTAGTGTCCCATACCCAAGATTCGGAATCCTATTTCGATACGTGTGTGCCTTGATATTCCGTTACATTCTTACAACATGGTCACATTAATTACTTCTCGCTTCTAAGAGTGAAAGTTATCCCAAACAATCAACACAAGTCCTTTTGTCGTGTTTTATTCTCACCCACATGCATCTTAAGAAAATTTTCAAGAGATCACCCAACATATAATTACTCAAGTAAAACACACTTAACTTTGGAGTTCCCATGGTCACCCGAAATGAAAGTGCATCTTGTTGGTATAGGTATTTATTTTCAATTCTTTTAAATTTTTCTAAGTCATTCTATTCTCGGGATCACTCTCATTTAAATGTTGTATCGGTTTATTCATGTATCTCTCCTTTATTCAGTGTCATGAGTTTGATTTATTTATTGTTTCAGTTAATTAACGAGGTATTGAGAAGAAATACCATCGCTGTTGCAAGTTTCCGCAAAGCAAAAAAAGATGTAAACATCAATGGTCAGTTATTCTATCATTCTATGATATATAATCACGTGACATTTATAATTTCTTTATTGATCTTTTCATGTTTGTTTTAGACTACACCATACCAAAGGGATGGAACGTACTAATTTGGACCAGAGCTATTCATATGGACCCTCACTTATATTCAAATCCACGAGAGTTTGATCCTTCAAGATGGGAGGTAGGATTTATGATACCTACCAATTCATTAACATGTTTATCATAAAGATATTAATGTGGGTAGTGTTCATAAGCAGAATTATTCACCAAAGCCAGGAACATTCATCCCTTTTGGAATCGGAACTAGGTTTTGTCCTGGAAGTGAACTTACCAAGCTTGAGATTACAATTTTACTTCATCACTTTATCCTCAATTACAAGTAAATACCCATCCAAATCTATCTTTTTACTGTTTAATCAAAATAAAAATGCATAAGTGATGGAGTTGTTTTGTTTGTGTTATTGTAGAATGGAACGTGTCAATCCAAAATGCTGCATCACTCACTTGCCTGCCCCCAAGCTCGTAGACAATTGCCTTTGCACAATTACCAAGCTCCCATGATTAGAGATGGTTGTAGTTTGGAAATAACAAAAAGTGATTCCCAATGAATTTATGTTGTTTCCTTATTATAATTCACTCAATAAAGTGCTAGAGTTTAATGAATAATTTTATACATCTCATTGCACAAGATCTAACAAATTGTACCTCATGGAGTAACTAAACTTCCATAAATTTTGATAGTAAAAAAGTGTTTGATAAAATGAGTGTTATAAACTAATAAATGACCCTTCGACAATTATGTCATTGTAACCTGTATATGTCTTATTTTGTATCTCAATTTAGTTCATATATTTAAGCTTCTAGGATCTATTAGTTTACTTAAGCTCATCTTAATCTTAAAGTTCTAACCCGGTGGAGACTCTTGTAGTTTCATCTTGTTGGAGCTCATTTTTCTTTTTAAAAATATTTCAAAATTTTAGGATAATTTGGTTAGCTCTTTTCTAGTCATGCATTTTTAGTCTACCTATATACAATAAATACTTAATGAACACCCTCATAATAGTTTCAACAAATAAATTCAAAATAATACATATTGGGACCCCAATAAGTTCATAATATAATCATCAAGGAGGGAGTGACCCTCGTGCCTACCACCTATCATATACTCACATGATCCTTTGCCCTTATCCAAACTAGTTCACAATCAAGAAACAAATTCACCCTCATGCTTTGATGTCGCAATCTGGGTTAGGGCAAGACCTCGTTAGCATTGTAGCACCGATCGATTGATCAAAAAGGAGAAAGGCCACCTGAGAGTGAAGGAGTTGAGAGTCGAAAAAACATGACAAGAATGAGAAAAATCATAGATTATTTTTCCTTTAAAAGAACTTGAAATATATATATATATATATATATATATATATATATATATATATATATATATATATATATATATAACATACCCAACCTATAACCTAAACTAATTTGGAATTCATAATCTATTCGAATCCAAAGGTTTTTCGATTATTGTTCCTTACCTTGTCTTTCCCATCATTATTCTTTTAGAAACTCCGATTTTCTCCAATTACTTCATGCCTATAAAAAAATCTAAACGATAGCATACTATGTATGCTATTGAGTTCGAATTATACCATTATTTTCCCCACCTAGTTGTCTTTATTTCTAAATTTATTACACAATTATTTATTTCAATTATTATTGAATAATCTAATGGTAGAGTTGCAAGAGCCCCCACTCTAAAAGGACCTGAACTAATCTCAACGAGAAAACGTAAGCAAGAGAGCGTTGGATGAATGATCGGGCCACATTGCAGTGGTTGGGAACTAAAACCTAAATTAAGAAGAGATAGCTCATCATCGAGTACGTCCTCCTACGAAAATAAACTTTTAAGTGCATGGTAACCATTGACTATCCACATGATCAATGCCCAATCACAGGATGAATCCATTGTGTAGGATAATCGATCAAACTACTGACTTACACATCCTTAGTTAGTCTCACGCCTAGTTCAACGGTATTGTACTAAAGTGGAAAGGGAAGTGAAAGTCCTTGTACACCCGACCGACTAATGGGAATTGAATTGACACCAAATTAACATACAACCACCATGATAAAATATGAAAGTGAGAATTTTGAGTGAATCTGTCCTTGTGTGATGGAGAATCCAACCTCCACGATAAAGTAGTGTGTTTGCTAGAGGCGGAGGGTGAGAGGAAAATGCAAGAGGCATTTAACGCTCTTATAATACTAACATGAAACATGCTAAAAGAACCTGAGTTGACATTTTTTTGTTCTCGTAGGTGGTATAAGATAAGTAAGGTGTTGTGGCTAAGTTGTAGGAAAATGTTGAGGCTATGTACCGAATCTAGATTCTAAATCTAAGGTATAGGAGCGTTATCTCCTACTAAAAAAAATCATCACTCTTAAGAAGCGAGGGAGTAGATAACGTGACCATATCGTAGGGGATGTCGGGGCCCTCATGTATCCCAAACCCTATTCCCATTTTGTAAATAATGTGGAACAATAACATAATTTGTAATTGATTTCATTTCTTCTTAATTATGATGTTGTTTGATTTTAATTGTGATGTTGTTTTGTATTTTATTTACTTTCGTTTTGTCTTGTTAATCGATAAATTTTAATAAACGTTAAAGAAGTCAAATTAAGATATCAGCTTCTACCCACTCCCACGTTTTTAATAATTTAAGCAATATTCTTACCATAATGAATAAGTTGATGGCATAATTGACACTATAAAAGACTCTCTTGTGTGGCTTTGGAGATATATTCATAGCACAAAGCTATAGACAATGGAAACGATTAATGTTTGTGTTATTATTGGATTTGTTTTAGGGGTTTATATGTTTGTGAGGAAACTCAATGAAATATGGTATTTGGTTAAGTTGGGAAGAAAGGCTTACAAATCTCTTCCTCCTGGTGATATGGGATGGCCTCTTCTTGGCTCTTCCTTCTCCTTTTACAATGCATTTACGGTCGGAGGTGATCCCGACTCTTTTATTTATCACCTTCTTTCCAGGTATATCTCTTCATTTCTCTTTATCGGGTCATGTGTATCGTTATTATATGCATGTCATGAAAGACTTCTCAAAACTAATTTGAATAGAGGTATATGAAAACTTAAACGTTTTAAAACTCCTTATATTTATGTTTGAAATTCTAGAAAAAATCTTAAAATGATAAATGATATGCTTTAAACATCATAATCAAAATTTTAGTATTCATCAAAACATTTAAAATATTATTGTCAAATACCGTAACTAAAATCTAAAAATAAAAATAAAAAGGTGAACCATGACCACCAAAAACGTCCTTGTCCTTGTCCTTGTCTAAAAAAAATTAAGTTTTGAAAATGGTGGTTGGATCAAAAAATTCAAACATATACAAATATGACCATCCTTACTTGTGGGACCTAAACCAACTCAACTTATTATGTTGATAAAAAGTATATGTGCATTACTTATATATACATGATTCATATACATGCACATGAACTTGCTAAGTAAGCATTACCTTCATTCTTTTGAGGCATGACACGGCCGAAATGATCAAAAGAAAAGAATTTATTTTTTTCTGGACAAATTACTATTTATTTCTTACAAACACCTCATTGATCTTTTTTAATAAGTTTGATGAAATCGAGAATTATTGTAATAGTTCAAGTCCACTACTAGTAAATATTTTCCACTTTTGCCTGTTACATTATCATAGGGATAAGTTTCCCTACTCTTATAAAGAATGGTTCCCTTCATTCCATCAACTTCACGATATTCAAAACGCGTCCACTAAGGAAAGATTTTCACACCCTTTTAAGGAATGGTTCCTTTTTTTGTTTCCCTCTCCAACCAATGTGAGATCTCACAATCTACCCCTTGGGGGCCAACGTCCTCATTGACACACCGTTCGGTATCATCCTCATGATTTTTAAAACCTCACAATCCACCCTCTTGGAAGCCAACGTCATCGCTGGCACACCGCCTGGTAAAATCTCACGATTTTTAAAACGCATCTGCTAGAAAAAAATTTCTACACACTTGGGTGTTTGGTTCCCCTCTCCAATCGAAACGAGATCTCATTTAGAAAAGATTATTGCATTCTTGCACAGGAATGGAAGAGTCGGGATGTATAAAAGTCACTTCTATGGAAGGCCAACAATCATCGTAACAGATCCAGAGATATGTCGACGCATATATTTAGATGATGAAATCTTCAAACCAAATTATCCAAAATCGGTGAAGATATTAGAAGTAAATGGTTTTTTCACAAGGGCTGATCACAAATCTGCATATAGAATCATGGCAGCTCCCATGAATGGCTATGAGGTATTGTCTCATTATGTGGACTTCATTGATCAAGTAATGGCAAAAGGCTTGGAGGAATGGAGCAGCATGAAAGAGCCCATTGAGTTGTTGGGTGAGATTGGAAGCCTCTTTTTTAAAGTAATTTCACGTATTTTCTTGGGGACTGACATTGGAGCATCTCGCATGGCTGAGCTTGAGACATTATATAAAGATTTGGGTCCTGCAATCTTGTCCATTCTTCCTTATGACTTGCCTGGACTCACTTTTCATGGCGCACTTAAGGTACCATTATTAGTGTTGTAAGCTGTGGTAAAGAATAAGTTCATGATCTTCTATGTATATATTGACATTTATTTGGTTCGTAATTCCCATTTATTTGGATCATCTCACAGGTTCATAACTCTTTTGGTTCACATCTCTCATTTATTTGGTTAATCTCTCATTCATTTGATTATCTTCCATTTTAATACATGAATCATCTTAATTCATGTATGATAATAATACTTTTATGTCTATATAAAGAGTTGTCTAGGACTTCTATGTATATATTGACATTTATTTGGTTCGTAATTCCCATTTATTTAGATCACCTCTCATTTATTTGGTTCATAACCCTTTTGGTTCACATCTCTGATTTATTTAGTTAATCTCTCATTCATTTGATTATCTTCCATTTTAATACATGAATCATTTTAATTCATGTATGATAATAATACTTTTCTGTCTATATAAAGAGTTGTCTAGGATGATTGAGATATGTATAAAGTTTGCTTGAATTTGAGTGTCATTTTGTATTTGTTGAATGAAATTTGAGAAGAACTTTATTGGGAGACTTTCTGTGTGAGATATAGACTTTGTAAATATTTTGATTATTAAGGTGGGTTGCTACCCATGGATGTAGGGGAATTTCTTCTCTCCAAACCACAAATTTTTGTATCTCTTCGTTTAATTTCTGTTTGTGGGCATGTGAGGGTGACCGATCTTACTTCTGCTTCCGTCTTCCGTCCAACAATTACTTCATATTGAATACGTTTTTTGGGGCATTATTTATTTACTTATGCTAATGGATGTGATGGGAAGATATTAAATGTTATTTTGTATACAACATATTGGCAGGCAAGAAAAAAGATAGAAAATATTCTACAATGTGTGATAGAGGAGAAAAGAAGAGCCCTAGAAAAGGAAGAAAGAGAAGTGGAGAGCCAAATGGACAAATTGATTATGGCAAGGGATGAGAATGGGATGAAATTATATGATAACAATGCCATA